ATATTTTTAATTTTTAATTTTATTAGGTTTATAAATTTTGACTTCTTATTTATTAAAATCGGATAAAAATAATTTTTATTTTATATTAACTGTTAAATTTGTTAATAAAAAGTAAATTTTTATCAATTAATAGTGAATTAATAACTGATTAACAGTAAATTAATAGTTAGTTAATAGAATTAACAAAATATTGTAAAGTTAATTTTGTTAATTTTGTTAGTTGAAAAAAGGTTTTTGACAATTAACAATCAATTTATAGTCAACTAACAGTCAACTAACAGTCAACTAATAAAATTAACAATTAATTAACAAAACTAATAAAATATTATAAAATATGGGTTATTCTTTTCAATTTTAATAGGTGAGGGTTTAAAAGTGTCATAATATAAAGTGGAGGGTTAAAACCTATAAATTTAATAAGGTAAGAGTTAAAAATGTTATAATATAAAGTAAGGGGTTAAAAATTTCAAACTTGATAAGATAAGGGGCTAAAAGTAAATTTTTGCTGCGACCCCATCGCTACAGAAAAATCCAACTCTATTTGCATACGGCATTATCGTCTCTCCTCCTCGTCTTTCTCCAGCTTCCGCTTTCCACAGCCATGACGCTTCACTCCAATGATAAAGGTGCTGGCTTTTTCTCATCAATTTATCTATTAATTTCGAAATTTATATTTGTTAGCTTTGTTTCTTTCCATGGAATTAGATTGTTTCTTTTTTCTTAGATTATTCATGTATATTGTCGTGTGTCTAAATTCCTGAATCTTCTGTTTTGATCTTAAAATTTCATGTTTCTGAGGGAGATTTAATGGAGCTGAGATTGTGCTATCAAATTATATCTATCTGGTTATGGCGGGGGATTCTTTATTGTTTAGTTGAATGAATACTTTGAATTCAATGTTTTTGCAGATGATTTTAACAAGACTGCAAAGAGTTCTTATTTTCACTTGCCTCCTTTGGATGTTTCCATTGCATTTCCTCAAGCAACTCCGGCATCAACATTTCCTCCTTGCAGTAAGGAAATGACTTTAGGTTTGCTGTTGATTGATAATTGAGATAGGTTTTGGAAAAATATTGGCTTATACGTTTCGCTTGTAAATTTCTTTCAGCCTCAGATTATTTTCAATTTGATGATCTATTGAGTCCTGAGGAGCAGGCTGTTCGCTTGAAAGTACGAGAGTGTATGGAAAATGAAGTAGCCCCAATAATGACAAAGGTATAATTCTCAACTATTGTGCTTAGAAGATGGGTTCCTTTAAAGAAAGCAACTAAATTTGCAAGTTTTTCCTCAGTATTGGGAGAAGGCAGAGTTTCCATTTGAAGTTGTCCCAAAACTTGGTGCCCTTTCTGTTGCTGGCGGAACTATCAAGGTAATTTTGAAATTGTTTACCTTTTGACCAATTTTTTTCTGAGATGAAGATGAGGGAGTTGGATGTTTAGCTGGTTCTTGCTCTCAGGGATTTGGATGTCCTGGTCTTTCCATCACTGGAAGTGCAATTTCCATCGCAGAGATTGCAAGAGTTGATGCAAGCTGTTCTACTTTCATTTTGGTACATTCATCTCTGGCCATGCTTACCATAGGTGAGATCTTTGATACCACTTTATTACTGTCAATTTTAAGAATAAAAGATGTGTAATACATTGTGGACTTACATGGCTTCTCTTAACTGTCAAGAATAGCTCTCTGTGGGTCTGAGGAACAGAAGCAGAAATATTTACCTTCTTTGGCACGGTTTAAAACCATAGCTTGTTGGGTATGTTGAATTTCTTGGTGCTAAATTTTTGAAATCATTATTATCTTCTTGCTGTTGAAGTCTAGGAACTCAATGGTTTAAGATTTTTGGCACTAGGCGTTGACTGAACCTGATTATGGAAGTGATGCAAGTGCCTTGAAGACAACTGCAACAAAGGTCCAGCTTTTAACCTCTTACTTTGACCTTTGCATTTACTCTTTTGTTTTGCAGTAGTCTAAATAAGTGCCTTCCTAAATCATTTTTTACATCATCTGGAATGGCCCAGGTTATGGGAGGTTGGATACTAGAGGGTCAAAAACGCTGGATAGGAAACAGTACATTTGCAGATGTGTTGGTTATTTTTGCTAGGAATACCTCAACAAATCAAATAAATGGGTAAGTTAAATCACATATAAATTATAGGATTTTACTATGTCTGGCACCTCCATTGGTCACTCTGAAGAGACCGCTAAATTCTTGAATGGTAGGCACTTTATTTTCATGTTCATGCATAGTTGGATTGTATGCAAGCTCAATTAAATGTATAGAATGTACACTGATGCTTGTCTTATGAACTTATTGACTCTGCCATTGAAATACAGATTCTTTTTCCTGTACCAATAACCATGTTGAATTAGGAATGTCAAAATCTGATAGTCTAATTAAGATGAAGAATAGTAAACATCATATTAATACCAGTTATCCATTTTGTTAAGTATGGGATAGGAGATGCAGCATAAGAATGGCATAGATTCATTGCATCCTGTGATGGAGTGATTTTCTTTCTGTTTCAGATATATAGTAAAGAAGGATGCACCTGGATTGACAGTTACCAAAATAGAAAACAAGATTGGTTTGCGGATTGTTCAAAATGGAGACATTCTACTAAAGAAAGTCTTTGTACCCGATGAGGACAGAATACCTGGTGTCAATTCTTTTCAGGATACAAACAAGGTGTGCTTCTAGTTGAGTTCCCTCAAGTAATGGTCTTTCCCCTAGTTATTCTTTTTTCTGGTTTGCTAATTGGATAGGAGTTCCATCAAGTAATGGTCTCTCCCCTAAATATTCTCATTTCTGCTTGCTAATTGGATTGAGATATCCCAAATCTGGAAAGATGCTTAGCCTTTGAGCTTGGTTGAGAAAGAAATCATGTTAATTGCTACTATTGGAAGCAGGTTTTGGCTGTTTCACGTGTAATGGTTGCTTGGCAGCCTATCGGGATATCAATGGGTGTCTATGACATGTGTCACAGGTATGACAAGTACTATTTTTTTCCTATATTTGCAATGGGATTTTAAGCTCTGATTATGGCCCGCTCAGCATTTTCTATGATTTATAGGTATCTGAAAGAGAGGAAACAGTTTGGAGCACCACTGGCAGCTTTTCAAATTAATCAGCAGAAACTTGTTCAAATGCTAGGCAATGTGCAAGCAATGTTTCTTGTTGGTTGGCGCCTTTGCAAGTTGTATGAGAAGGGCAAAATGACTCCAGGTCATGCCAGCTTGGGAAAGGTACACTAACTAAGATATAGAAACCTTTGATGCATTTGATGACTTTTTTTGTTCTTCATTGCGTGTCAAACTTCTATTATCTTCAGTCGTGGATCACCTTGAAGGCAAGAGAAACAGTTTCTCTAGGACGAGAGTTACTTGGTGGCAATGGAATTTTGGCTGATTTTCTAGTTGCAAAGGTACAGTTTATTTCTTAAGTTGCTAGTTATTAATCTTTTGGATTAGATCAAAGTAGAATTCATAAGCAAATCCAACCATCCAAACCCTGAAGTTCCTACAGGGTGCAACAAATGGCTTTTGAAATATTCAATTTTATACTGGTAGGCTGAACGTTTGCTCCTAGATGGTTACATAAATTGTTCTTTCAATGGACTCATCATGAGTATGTATCATCATTGGTTGCAATTTAATGATAACTCAGCTCAACTGATTGTCAAATTACAAGTCAATTAATCATAAAACATTTGAATAAGTTGCAACCTTGATTAAAGGGAGGAAAACTCACATTCCATGAGATTTGAAACCGGTGATCAACGCCATGGCCGGTCTTAGTACTTACCAGTGAGCTTTATTTAAAAGACAGAACCTTCATGAATTCATACTGTTAACGTTCCTATAGGCGAATACAAAGTGAATTTTTGCTTGAACTTTGGTTCGAGTCACAGTTTCAATGCCATGTTCAGTTCTTGGTGTGTCCTGTTTTCTCTTTTCTTTCCATTTGAACAGTTTAAATTACTTCTTATGTCTTTTCTGGTCAACTTTGCAGGCATTTTGTGATTTGGAACCCATCTACACATATGAAGGCACTTATGACATTAACACCTTGGTAACTGGCAGGGAAGTCACTGGGTTAGCTAGTTTCAAGCCAGCTGCATTGAGCAAGCGAAGCCGCCTTTGATCATGGACACTCTCCTCGTACCCTCTACGCGGGATTCCTTTCTTAACAAAGTGTTCTGTAAAATGGATCAGAATAAAGTTAATATACTTATCAAGGGAAACTGAATAAGTAATCTCTCTGTATAAACAGTTGCGCATATGTAATAAAATTGAAGGAGAATGCTGAAATGCAGCATGAACTGGAATGCAGCATGAACTGGACTTCACTTTTCTAAAATTGAACTGCACTTCAGTCTTTTTTATGGCATGGAAATCCCGACCTCATACTCGAATAATCAAACTGTCATTGACTTATAGCCAGAAAAAGTTCTGATTTTCCATTCTGCAGCTTTCTCGTAATATATTTACAAGTTACAACCATGGATATGTAATAGAACAGGGCAGGCATCACTTCTCAGTGTCTTTCTGCCACCCTACATTTCTTGCTGCCAGCATCAGCTGTGCTGCGGCGGCGAAGAACTTAACATTCTGCACTGGGTTAAGTATCTCCACCACCCGTGCAGCCGTGGTTATCCTCAGCATATCTGCACTTGCCACCACCTCCTGCATTGCCTTCCTCAACATCTCTAGACCTGCTGCCTCCTCCGCAATCGCCCCTCCCCCTAGTTGCGCCCTCTGCCTTGCAATCTCCAGCAACTGGGGTCCCGCCATGCTTTCCTGAATCCTTGCCATCTCATCATTCAGGATCCTCTCTTCAACTCTCGTCTCCAAAATCAGCCTCTGCATGCTCTCCCATTGGTCTAGAGACAAGTCGGAAACAGAGTCAGACACAAGCCTAAACGCCAGCGCCGGCTTGAACCCGCCAATCCAAAGCGTGGAACGCTCAAACGGAGAGAACCAAGTTGGACAAAAGACAAGAAACACATTTTGTTGCACCATCCTAGATTTTTCTTCATAGTACTGCTGGTAATGAGCAAGCATGCCGCGAATAAGATCCTTGAGATCTTCATAAGGAGGTTCATGGCTGCATTGTTGAGCAGAAAGCAATTGATCCAGAAAATGCTGCTGCCTCCCCAACCAGCCATTGAAGAATGTCTGGAAGGAATCAGCAACGTTGCTGCTACTGCCACCGCAGTTGTCTCTGTTTCTGTTCCCGTTAGTCATAGAAAAGCAAGAAAGAAAGAAAACAGAGCAAGACACCTTTGCGATGCTTCAAGAAAAAGATTTGAGTCCATTTGAGATGTCATAACTCATAAAGATAGTATACAGTTTCTGTTTCTTGGAGTTTGCAAGAGAAGGGAAGAGGGGATGAACCATGAATGGGATGATGTTTTGGGGGGTTAAACCCAACCCTACAAGGGACAAAAGGAGATGGAAAGGGGAGACAAGAGGTAAGATTTTTCGTGTAAAGAGACATCAGGGGAGATGAGTGATGTGTAGGGTTGTGCGGTGGGTTTTGTCGTGGGGTGGGTGATGATATGGGAGCAGACCACGTTTCATTGATGGAAAATTAACTTTCAAGAAAACTGAAACTATGCAAAGCAGAAAGAGGGGGGGAGGGGGTGTGGGTGTGTTTAGTTTTGTTTCATTTATTGAAGTTCAAAGAAAGCTGAAACCATAGAAGAGTGTGGGTTTTTGTTTTGTTTCATTTATTGCAAGGTTTAGTTGTGGGTTTCGTCACTACCAATTCCATTTTTTCCGGTTGTTCTGATGATAGGCGTCACATGTTTCGAAGTTTACAAGTGGAATGGAAGAATCAAAGGCAACCATGTCAAAGCGTGGAAATCAAGTGTGACCCATCCCATGGCTAGGCTTTATTTAGCTAGACAAGGAGAGCCTGAGGCACGGTGTCGATGCCGGTGGTTTCCGGTTGTTGGTGGCGAGGAGGTGCTGACCTGACAGCCAATGCCAATAGCTTGCCTATTTATAATAGATCCTTATTCTTCTTCTCCCCTTTTTTAAAAAAAAAATTAAAAAGTCTAAGGAAATTAGCTTCTAGAGAGTAGGACAGTCCTGAATCTCCGAATGCCAAAATAAAAAATAAAAACTTCTTTCAAAGTAACCCAAGAGAATTACTATATTTTGCATGGTGTTCAGAACCGTAGTGTTGTTTTTTTTTTGAATTTTCAGAACCGTAGTTTACAGAACGATAGAGTGCTTTACAACAGGCCACACAAGCGAGGTCTGGAACAAAGCTGCCTTCCATTGGCTTTGACCAGTGCCATCACTCCAGCAGTCAGTCCAGCCCAGAGTACGGAAGACATGTATTGATGTGCGTTTCGGCCGGCTATAGATGAAAACAAACCGGTTTTGATTCTTCTTAGTGAGTATAACAGAGGGAGGAATTTAGAAACCAGAAATTTTTTTTTGGGTATTACAACGAACCCACACTTGGAAGAGAGGTACCTTGTTGAATTGTGAATGATGTCAGTGTCAAACCTCCGATGAGCAGAGCTGATGCTACCGGAAGATACTGTGAAGTTTCAGAATACATGAAAGCTGAAGCAGATTGGTGAAAAAAACAATATAGTGTCAAAGAAGCAAATAGGCATCAATACATAC